GGTAGAGAGTACAAACAGACATAAGAGAGTACAAACCATGACACAAAGGTGCACAAAATGTGAAACATGGACAGAATCACACAAATCTAAGAACTAATGAGACAAACATGGCTGTGTGTTTGCCCAGTGACAGGTGGTGAGAAGTTAAGAGTGCAAAGAGGCTGGAAACAGGCAAGTGGCCTAGATAGAACATGAGCTCATCATTACAATTTGCCCTTATGGGTTGGCAGATCTGTGGTTTATGGGAGTCTGAGGCTCGCTTAAAGAGCTAAGGCTGAGCAATCCTGCCCTTCATTCGGGAAAGTTAAAATTCACAGGCTGGATTATAAAATGTCCCCGTAACTCCCAAGTTTGATCAAATTTAAGCACTTCTGTAGCTACAATCTCCTCTATGTTCCTACGCATCTTTGGAAGACTTGAAAGAAGTGGAAAGATTTTAGTTCTGCTGTCCTTTCACTCTTCTACACAGATAACAATGAAGGGTACAAGTAATTGTACTACAGTCATTGCTAACTCCCTTAGTCTTAAGTAAAATTCATTCCACTTTGGGCATATCTTCTAGGCCAGAATGCACATCTTCCTCTACTGTGTGTGTTTTTATTTTGTTTAAATCACACAGCTGCGGTGGCATGCTGTCTAGAAATAGTCTGTGTTGGTATTCAAGCTCAAAAAGCCCTGGTCTTTCTTTACTTATGACACTCCTTTTTGACTCTTACTCTTTGATTCCACTCAATGTACTGAAAATAAAATGCAAACCTTGAATTGAAAAACAAACAGACTGGATAGGAACAAGGCCTTTAATACATTACCTTTTTAAAAAAAATTACCTTTTCTATGCTAACTTCCGAGAGGAAGAAGTTGAATGTCTCTTCTTCCACCTTCTCTTCCTACCTCAGTATGTTTAAGTATTAATGAAAAACACAAACTGAACACCTCCCTATTCAGTTTCTGACAGGCTGCTACCAACAATGGAGCAATATTACGTATTATTATCAAGAGAAGAAGAATGTTCCACAAACCACAGGAAGCATGTTTGTGGTTTCAATCTCTCTGAGCTTTTGCTCTTACTGCTGACAGACAATATTTTGCCCCTAAAAACAATGAGGCGCACAGGTAGGAAAGACAGCCTTCCGGACATGAGAGTGTAAAGATTCAAATGGGCTGCAGATAGCAATGGCTAAAAATGGACTTTGGCTAGTAAATGGTTAGTCTGAGAACACTGTAGATGAACTGACATGCATACTTTCAACTATAACATAAATTCCTAGGATAGTCATTAGTCCTAGTTGTAGGAAAAATTACCATTCCCTTCATTACTATTTTCTGTTAGTTTGATGCAGGCTGGTTACTTAGTACCAGACAGGGAAATTCATTAGATATCCCTTGGTTGAGTATTATTCCTTCCAAGTTGACTTCATAGTGATACTTTACTGAATGCCCACTAATGCTTAAATTCTTATGATTTGCTAAGTAATACTGATATAATTTTTTTAAAAATTACGATATTATCTGGTGATGTTGGCAGTCACTTTTTCCTAATCACAATGGATGGGATGAATGAATATTCTTCTTTGCAAAGCCATTTCCCTAGCTGAATACTTGGCACCTGCTTTTGAGGGAGTTACTAAGGGATCTAGACTCAGAAGCATATAGTATTTTGAATGTTTGCTTAGATTCACTTTATTTAGGCCCATGATCTGTCATCTTCAAATTATCAAATATGTTTGCTAATTTATAAGTTATTCTTATATATCCAAGTGGGGAAAAACTTAGGCTACTTGAAATCAGAGAATCTTAAAGCTTTTTAGTACTATGGAAGTCATCCAATCCAACTCTCTGATTTTACAGAAAGAGAAACTGAGGCTTAGTGATTGGACTTGATTAAGGTCATATAGCTAACTAGTAAGAAAGATGGATTTCAAACCTGGCACTATTAACTCCTTAGTCCAGTATGCTTTTCATTATAATATACTGCATACCTTCAATTTTTTTTGGAGGGGGTGGGGGAGGGCAGAAAGAAAGAAAAAGGTACAGTAGCTCTAAAAATGTGCCATTTTAGAACTTATGACCTCCAGCCCAATGGTACAAGTGTAGGTTAAAAATTTCTCTGCCCTTCTCTTGATCCCTAGGGAAGGCATTTATGAAATGTATTTGTCTTAATTCTTTAGATTGCATTGCACCCATTGCAGAAACTCTTGCAACCCTACTCACAACCTGTTATTATAGTCCTTCTGAAAGAAACAGTTATTTGGCCCAAAGCCTGTTCATTCCCCATTGAAAAAAATAAGTAGAAGCAGGCACTCTATACAAGTGGGTTGAAAAGAAATCTAGGTGTTAATGAATCAATGTTATAACCTACGTCTAATATATGCAGTTTAAATAAATGATATTTTAATAATTTATCTCTGAGAAGCTATGTATTATAGTACTGTATAAAATATATGAGTACATTAAAGTACCATTATAATGCTTTCAGTTTTCAAGCTGTGAGACCACATTACTAGAGACTTGTCATAAAGGCCTCCTTGTACTTCTAAAGATAAAAAATGTTTGTGACTGCAGTCTATGAAGGAATTGCCTTTTAAAGAATCTTGTGTAACAGTATGTTTGATGCTGTAAAACACAAACATATTTTAACATTACTGTGCTTTATCATAATAAAGATTTCATCACAATTTAGAAAGAAAGAGGGCTTTATACTTATCGACTACCTATCACCCCAAACACTGTGCTATATATATTTTTTATATACTATCTAATTTAATCTTCACAACTCTGAGATAAGATTATAAACTTATTTTTACAGACTGGGAAAGTAAGACAAATATATTAGGTGGCTAAGATCACATGGTCTCTAACACACAGATCTGGGACTTGAACCCAAGAGTGTCTGATTCTAAAGCTACTGGACTTTCCTTTATACTATGTTACTATCACTCAAAAAAATTGGAGTAAAAGCTGTTCTTTAACATCCCAGAAATTTCCTTAGCAAACCAAGTCACTCACTCACTACTTGTCCATTGTGTGTCTACAACTATGTAGAGTTGGATTCATCCATCTGTCCAATCCCCTACCTATTGCCAAATAGGTATTAGGTGCCTCCTATATTCCAGGCACTATGCTAGACGTTATGTATACAACGAGTGAAAAGGAAAGTCCTCAAGTCCTGTGGCAAAGAGGAGAGTCATTAATTAAATAGTCATAAAAATAAATGTAAAACTACAACTGTGTTAAGGAGTATAATGAATTACGAGTTAGTAGTTCTGGGTCTGAAATTTAACATGGTAATATTTTAGTGTCTAACAGGGGTCTCTGACTCAATCTAGAGGGTCATGGAAGGTTTCTCCAGGAAAATGATGGCTGAATAGAGATTTGGAGAAATAGTAAAATTACTTAGGTAAAGAAGATTGTCCTAGATTGAAGGAACACAATGTCTAAAGATACTATGGTGAGAGAAAGCAGTGAATGTCTGAAGACAGGTAAGGGTGACATGATATGCATGGAGCAGAGACAGCAAAGAGAAGCAGCACAGTGTATCAGGTAAGAGAGACACAGGCAGACAGATATCACTGTCTGCCTAGAGGCCAGATGAAGGATTCTGACTTGGATACTAAAGCAATGGGAGGCCACTGAATGCTTTTTTTAATTTAATTTTTCATTTTAATTAAAAAAACTTTTGTTTATTTGAGAGAGAGAGGGAGAAAGTAAGCATGCAAGCACACACAAGGGGGGGGCGGGGGTGGGCAGCAGAGGCAGAAGAAGCAGGCTCTCGACTGAGCACAAAGCCTGATGCAGGGCTCGATCCCAAGGCCCTAGGATCATGACCTGAGTCAAAGGCAAATGCTTAACCAACTGAACCACCCAGGCACTCCGCCATGGAATGGTTTTAAAAGGAGAGATAACATGAACAGATTTACATTTTCTAAAAGCTTATGCTGAAGTGGGGAGAAGTGACTCAGAGGAGGAAAGAGCAGATACAGCAGGACTAGTCAGGAAGCTACTGAAGTAATCCAGGCAAGAGATGATGGTATCTTAATCTAAAAAGGTAAAAGTGGAAATGAAGATAAGTAGATAGATTTGAGATTTATATAAACATATAAAAATGCCAACTTAGTCACAGCCTGGATATAAGGAGTAAGGAAGATTTCAAAGATGAGTCTAGGATATGGTTTGCACAATTAGATGGACAGGGAACGTTGAAAGAAGATTAAATTTGGTAAGAAGAGGGGAGAAGAGCAGAAATCACGGATGGGTTCAGTTTTGGATTATTCTAAGAAGCCTTTGAGATATATAAATGGCAGTAAGAGCTCTGAGCAAAAGTAAGGATTAGAGATGTGACTGTCGAGTTCTCTGAAAATAAATAGTAAGCTGTGAGTCCAGATGACATCACTTTGAGGAGAGAAAAGATCTGTGATGGAATCCTGAGGAATCCCAACATCTCCTGGATTAGTAGAAGAGGATGAACTTGTCTAGAAGACTAAGAAGGAATAATCTCTGAGAACAGAGAAGAATACCATGTCACAGGAGCCAGGAAAGGAGACAGTTTTCAGAACAAGAAAGTCATTAATTGTGCTGAGTAATGTTGAGAAGTTAAAAAAAAAAAAGTCTGCTGGATTTAATAACATGACAATTATTACTGATCCTACAAAGAGGTGCTTCAGTGGTATGACAGGGGTGGAAGTCATATTAGAGGGAATGGGGAGTGTGCAGTAGAAGCCATTGTGGCTATAAAAAAGTCATTCCCATCCTGAAGAAGTTAAGAGTTTCTTTTATTTGAGAAAGCAACACCTATATAGCACAAAAAATAGACCCAATGCTACCAGTTTTACTAATTCTTTAAATGCTATAGAAATCCAGAAAGGAAGAATCAAGGTGACTAGGTAACCCAGGAAAGTCTACAGAGAGGCAAAGTTTTTAATTAAAAAAATTTAAAATTAATTAAACTAAAAATTAATTTTCAAACTCTTGTAGTTGACATACAATGTTTTTATTAATTTCAGGTGTACAACACAGTGACTCAACAATTCTATACACCACTTGAGGCTCACCACAGTAAGTGTAGTCACCATACAATATTATAAGAGAAAGACGGAGAGCTTTAAGGGGTGTATTTAAGAAGTACAAAACTGAATGACTGAAAAGTGCTGAATGCTGGGAAATTACATGCAAAGACTATATGGTGTGTGTGTGTGTGTGTGTGTGGTGAGGGGGAGGTGGAAGTGGTATAAGGTGGAGTGATCACAAAAAAGCCAAGAGATATGTATGCAGTCCTGTTTTGTGACGTAGGTTCAACACTGAATTATTAAGGACTGGATAATCTATGCCCTAGTTTCTCCTGTTTTTTTTTGCTGCCAACCTATGGGTCAATTCCTTTCTTATAATCAATTATACCAGAGGGTTGGTAGGAAAAAAAGGAAATAAGAATCATAAATCAACCGTGCTGCTCATTGGTTCTGGATAACGCTGTGTGAAAAGTTGGGATGTGTTAAATCAATGTAGCTTTGTATTTATGGCTTTGAAGCAGAAGAATACAGATTTCAGAACCAGAGGGAGTAAGGTCTGCTCACTAACTGTCGTTCACTACCTATGTGAGCTTGCGAAGTGCAACCAGTGTCCTTAAACCCTAGCTTCTCATCTGTAAAATGGGAGAAACAGTAAGTTTCTTGGCAAGATTGTTCCAGGACTTAGAGATGAAATGATAGTGCTTGCTTTATAGGAATCTACTAACGATGGCTAATACCATTTTAGTAATACTATAATATACAGAGAAAACAGGAAATATATTCAAAGAGGTAACCTTGTATACCTAAGATGGAGATATTTTATTTACTGGTAGGCCCTGATCTACATTTTTCCACTGATGTTTATCTAGAGACAACTGAAAAACATCAGAAAACAAAGTTTTGTTTTTGGACCCTTTGTGAGATAAACATATTTGTCTCACAGATTTTTACATTAATGATATTAAGGATATAACTATTCAATTAATATTTAAAGAGTCAAATATATTATTTTATATTACTGCTAATTTTGTTAAAGTGAAAGAAGAGACAAAAGAATAAAAAAGGAAAAAAGTAAACTAGAAGAATTAAAAAGCAACCAAAGTGTGAAAAAAGGACAGAGCATAAGGGAGGCAAAAGAGAACACAGAGAGAGAGAGAGACCGAAAGACAGAGACAAGATAGACAAGAAGAAATAAAAGAGAAGGGACAGGAGAATCTGCCCAGACCTCTCAGATCCCTCTATCCCCTCCCCTCACAATATATGACAACAAAACCAAAGTACTCTGAGCCTCCTGCTTTGTCTGATCCTGCCACTGCTTTCCTTTCTTGCCCAGCATACACCAGTCCCTCAGTCTCCTTACCAGTATTTCAGCTGATAGTAGACCAGGCACTGCTAAACAGTGTTCTGGGCCACTTTCTCTCAATTATTTAAAAAACAAAAGAAAAAAAAAAACACGTTTATATTTGCATCTGCTAAACTAAGCAGGACACCATGTGACAGGTGTGTTTAGAGTGTGTTTAGAGAACATCAGGATCTTATTTAGGAACACTATTTTAAAAAGAGATACCTTTTAGAAAGTTTATCATTAAAAAAAAGTTTATCATTTTAAGAAATGTAAACTGTGATGGATATAATTTTTAAAAATATGCCAAAGGATAAATGAAATTAAGTCAAGGGAAAAACTCAAGATTCTGAGACCACCAACTCTGATTTACTTAGTGATTTTTCTTACTGTGTGCTGAGGGCCATCTTCATTATCCCTCATGTAGAAAGGCTTGAGTGCTAATGGATAATTAATGACAAAGACTGGTATGTTGCCACAGTGCTTCACTAAGTACTTTTCATGTTCAGTGTGTAGATCAACACCCCACTGTAATGAGAAAAAAGAAATTATCAAAGGAGAAGAAAGAGCAGAAATATACAATGCAGTATCCAAAAATAACCTCTATCAGTTCCAAGGGCTTCCTCTGAGATCAGTGATGTGTGGAGCTGTCTGCTAAGGTTACTCAGATAACTAAGCCAGAGAGGTGTGTTACAAGAACATCTGAAGGCCTGGAAAGATGAAAGCTGAAACGAGTAGATAAACATTAAGCTTTCTGTCCCCCATATCTTGCGGAGCAGCATTTAGCAGATGAATCGCATCTGCAGGAAAACAAAGTACCCTTCCCACAGTGTATAAAAGCTGGCTTCAAAATCATAGTTTTTATTAATATTGCCTAGAGCTTCTTCTATGGTTACTGTTCCTAAATCGCAGGAAATTAAATGATGAAAGATAATATTCCTAATATTGAGTCTCTCTTTGGCTAGATGGCTTCTTTCAGTGATTTTTTTTTAATAAGAAAGTCAATTCATATATCAGATGCTCTGATGAATATTTAATAACACTTATTTATTCAACAAATACTAACATGCCTATTAAATCCCAGTACCATGCTAGGTACTGAACATAGTGGTAAGAAAAATAGAACTCCTGACTTCATGAAGCTTTCAGGGTAGGAGACAAATATTAAATAAAAAATTATACAAACAAATTAACTGATTATAAATGTAACAAGCACAACTACTATACCTCATAAGAAGATCTGACTTAATTGGGGATAGGACTGGTGAATAGAATAGTTTGAAGACAAAGTAATCACAGTACATTCCTAACGTTATATTATCCCTACTTGTCTGCCAATATGTTAATTATAGGTTAAACGCCCTAGCATAGGAAGGAGGAGACTTGTTTCTTTTTTTTTTTTTTAAATTTTTTTTTAATTTTTATTTATTTATGATAGTCACAGAGAGAGAGAGAGGGAGAGAAGCAGAGACATAGGCAGAGGGAGAAGCTGGCTCCATGCACCGGGAGCCCGACGTGGGATTCAATCCTGGGTCTCCAGGATCACGCCCTGGTCCAAAGGCAGGCGCTAAACCACTGCGCCACCCAGGGATCCCAGGAGACTTGTTTCTAATATTATGTGCATGACCAATGAGAAATCATGAGGCTTCTCTGGACATATTACCATTCTTTTAAAGGATTTTCATCTTCCTATCCTTCCAGAAGGTTTAGGAAGATAGTTTAAAGATTATAAACTTCTTTATATCTTTAGTCACTGCTATTAAAAATGATATGACTACTTCAAAATTATTTACTCTAAATATTTTAACAAGGTTGAGCAAACATCAAAAAAGACAATCTAAAGATGGGCAAATATTAAACAATGCTAATAAGAAAATTAAGATTATTTACTTTTAAAGATTTTATTTATTCTGCAGGGGGAGGCAGGGGGAGAGGTAGAGAGAGAGGGAGAAGCAGACTGTGCTGAGTGCAGAGCTTGATGCTGGGCTCGATCTCAGGATCTTGAGATCATGACCTGAGCCGAAACCAAGAATCAGATTTAACTGACTAAGACACCCAGGCACCCCAGAAAAATAAGATTATTTTAAAAGTTTCTTTCTTTCTTCTTCTTCTTCTTTTTTTTTAAGGTAAGTTCTATGCCCAGCGTGGGACTGGAACTCACAACAATTAAATCAGAAGTTGCTTGGTCTACTGAATGAGCCAGCTCGGTGCCCCAGGATTCTCAATGAAATATGATATGGACAAGAGGGGAAAATACAAATATAAATACTACCTCTGGAGTGAAGGTGAAGTTCTGAGATGACTGCTTTAAGATCTCTACTGCTTCAGTATAAGAAATGCTGGAAAGAGAGTAAAAGCAGAGAAAGGTCAATATAATGGCATGTTGCTAATTACTTCATCTGAAAAACTACAAAGGGTCTATTCTCATATAATTTTTGAGATCACAAAGGAGTACTAAATGATTATTGAGTAATCAGGAATAATTCTAAATAAATCATCACTAAGTAATCAGGAATTAAGGCTGACCTAATTGTATGAGAACTGATCAGTATGATGAAAAGTGGTCATTCAGTAATCGCATTCTTGACCTACTTGCAGTATATACAGAGAACCTTGTCACTTAAGCAAGTAAAGATTTTCTCTGAATTCATGTTATGCCAATGCCCTAATAAAAGGTGTGAAATAGTGAGGCTGAAAGAGTAAAAATCTTTTTACAAAGTCATCATTTATTCATTAATTCATAACACATTTATTGAACACCTACTATGTGCTAGGCATTATTCCAGACACTGGAGAGACAAAACAAAGCCTTTATGGAACTGATATTTGTGTGTGTGCATCTGTGTATGAGTGCTGGGATTTGGGGTTCGAGAATAAACAAACAGAATATAAAGCCAGAAATCTTCCGTGCTGTAAGAAAAATAAAGCAAGGGAAGAAGACATAGGGTGTTTGGTGGTGTAATTTTAGATACGACGGTCAAGAAAGGACTCAATGACTTGGGGCTATGTGAAATAAGGAAATAAACCATATAAATATCTGAGGGTAAGTATTCCAGGCAAAAGGAACAGTAAGTACAAAGGCTTGAAGTGAAGGAACAGTTTGGCTCATTCAAGGAACAAAAAGGTCAATCTGCCTGTAGCATACTGTACAAGGGGAAGAATGCCAGGAAATCAAATAAGAGAGATAGTCAGAGGTCAGATCTTATGGATTCTTTCAGGCCACAGTCAGGGCTCTGTAATATATGCTAAGCATTGTAAGACTGTTTAGGAAAAAAATCATTGGTTATTATACCTCAGTAAGAAACTCTCATGTCTAAAGCAAGCCACGCACACATTTGTTTGAATTTAACTGAATAGGTAATATATGAACATAGTAAAAAAAAAAAAAAGTATAAAAGCATCTATTTCCCTTCCATCCTGTCCCATAGCCGCCCACTTAGCCGCCTGCCCATAGCTCCTCTCTTCACATACAATCACTGTTACTGGTTTTTTGTGTATCCTTCCAGAAGGTTTTATATATCTATAAGCAAGTATTAACATATAATCTCCTTTGTTTCATAGATGGCAGCCATAGTATAAATGCCATATACATTCTTTCACATCTTTTCTTAATAATATACCTTGCAGATCTTTTCATATAAGCTTCTCCATTTTTTGAACTATCATATTCTATTTTGTGACTATAACATAGTTTACTCATTCATCTATTGATGGATATTTCAGCTGTTTCTAATCTTTTGCTATTATAAATCATGACTACATACATCTGTCACAAATGATTCACATGAATTTTGCATATGGGAAAAATAGAATTGTTGGATTATAGTGTATTTATGTTTACAGTTTTTAGATATTTTGATACTGCTAAAGATACTGCTTCCCTTTGATAGTGTTATACTAATTTATGTCCACTGGTAGTATATGAAAATGTCAGTTTCCATATGCCCTTTGCAACATTGCTTTGAACATTTTTTAAAAGATTTTATTCATTAGAGTGAGACAAAGAGCATGGGGGGAGGGGAGGCAGGGAGAAAGAAGGGGAAGCACACTTCCTGCTAAACAGGGAGCCTGATGTAGGGCTCATGACCTGAGCCAAGGCAGATGCTTATTAGCTAACTGAGTCACCCAGGAGCCCTTGTAACAGTACTTTGGATGATTAAAAACAAAAGTCTACAATAAATAACGTCCAGAAATCTCCCCTCAATTCCCCACCAAAACCCCAAAACAAAACAAACAAGATCCAAAAGTCTATAAACTTCCTGAAGTCTTTACACTCAAAAAATAGGGGGTCCCTGGGTGGCTCAGTGGTTTGGAGCCTGCCTTTTGCCCACGGTGCGATCCTGGAGTCCCGGGATCAAGTCCCGCGTTGGGCTCCCGGCATGGAGCCTGCCTCTCCCTCCTCCTGTGTCTCTGCCTCTCTCTCTAGGTCTATCACAAATAAATAAATAAATAAATCTTAAAAAAAAAAAAAACTAACTAAAAAAATAGGGACGCCTGGGTGGCTCAGTGGTTGAGCATCTACCTTCGGCTCAGGGCATGATCCCGGAGTCTGGGGATCAAGTCCTGCATCGGGTTCCCTGTGAGGAGCCTGCCTATGGCTCTGCCTCTTTCTCTGTGTCTTTCATGAATAAATAAACAAAATCTTAAAAAAAAAAACACTCAAAAAATAAGTTACTCAACAGAAATTTATTCTATGAAGGAAAAATTAAATTCAAACCTATAATAATTAATTGGAAGGAGTTGTGTATATAGTACAAAAAAAGCCTCCAAAGCTAGGTTTTGAGTGATATTTTTCCAAGATGAAAATTTTATTCAAATTAGAATCTAGTATTACATCATAATTTCTAAGGCAAGAATGAAAGTGGTGTTGGGGACAGTAATCATATTTAAACAAGCATTTTACAGAAGGGAAAAGGAAGGTTACAGGGGACTGTAACTTGCCCAAAATCACTCATGTAAAGTAGTAAGCCTGATGTGTTGACTCCACAGCCTCAGCTTTTAACTACTAAGATAGTGCCTAAAACACTTGGAGTTTAATATACTCAATCAAAACAAAGACAGATGGGCGCTCTGAGTTCTCCCTCTGATGCTACCCCTTACTGGCTACTATGTAAATCACTTCAACTTAATGAAAGCATTTTATAAATTTGTGTAATGTTTTATATAAACATTTAAAAAATAAGTATTCGTACTTGTAAAATAAGGAGATTGGACTATGCTATCTCAAGTTCTTTTCTGCTTTGACATTCTATTGTTCTATTCCATCAATTACTTGATACTATCTACTCATTATACTGAGAAATATAAGAGCAGTCAAAGTGGGAAGCACAGGGATTTTGTCCATGGATATGTTTGCTACATTATTCTAAAAAATGACTTTCTAAGTATCTCTTGTTATTCTGGATCTCCTGCCTTACTCCCACATCTTAAGTTGAAGCAGAGCTTTTCAGCTCAAATTACAGTTCTGACACTGGATATCCTTAATGGCCTTTATCAACTCTCTCTCCTAATTTCTTTTGATATGTACAGAGAATAATATCTCTTCTTCCCAGAAGCTATTTCTAAAGTACTTTGAGGAAAGAAGGAAGAGACATAGTGATATTGCTTGATGCAGTACCAAACTACCTTCAGATTTAAATTTTTTTATGATTTAAGGAAATTATTCTGAAGCTGTTGGATTAAAACTGCTTAGCTAAAATTATTAGCATTGTTTGACTCAAATTCACAGATACATGAAGAGCAAAAGAAGGTAAGTACTCTACATTTTAAAAACCTTAATGCTATAAAGGAGACATAAAATAATTGAATTCTATTTCTGCTTAGTAAAGACTAAATTCAATTACTACACAAGTCCTTTAAATAATTTACTTTCATATAAAACAATTATAAGTAGTCAAGAATACAATGAAATCTATTTATGCAAAGGAATACAAGTCACGTGGCATCTCATGTACATACACGCGCATGTGCGTGTGTGTGCGTGTGTGTGTGTGTGCGTGTGTGTATGCATATGTGTACTTCGGGGAGTATCTCCCTTCTAATTCATCACACTTAGGTTTACTTTCATGTCTTATGGTTGTTAAAATCTCTGGTTTCAAAGATCGGCAACTAACCCTTCCCCTCATCTTTTTTTTTTTTTTAAGATTTTATTTATTTATTCATGAGAGACACAGAGAGAGAGGCAGAGACACAGGCAGAGGGAGAAGCAGGCTCCATGCAGGGAACCTGACGTGGGACTTGATCCCGGGTGTCCAGGATCACGCCCTGGGCAGAAGGCGGCGCTAAACCGCTGAGCCACCCAGGCTGCCCTCACCATCTCGAGAAACCTCTGCATCATACCATTTATGTTTATCCCTCTGGTACTCAGTTCCCTCTTTATTTGTAGCTCCTGGAACTTCTCTTACTTTCTAGTGACTCAACAATGTATTTAAACGAATTTTTATAATTTTTAACAACCATTTTTAGATGTTTTGCAGCAGGAATGTTATTTTAGTTATCTAGTCTGGCACACTGCTTAAGCAGTTTGGTCATTTGAACTTTTCAACAAAATGACAGACAAGTTACAAATTTATAGATGAGGAAATGCAAGTTTAGAAAGGTTAAAAATTTACTATTAATCAAGTTTATAGTTGTAATCAAATAATCATTCATGTAAAAAGTTAACTATTCATCTTTTTCTCTAGATTTTAAATTCCATAAAAGAACTAATCCATGCCTATATCATGGATCATCAGTGACTGTGACTAGCACAGTGCCTAACTCATAGTAGATAGTTTGGTGAAAAAAAACTAAGACATTCATTAATGGCTGATAAGGAGTATAGCTAGAACTAGAATCCGGGCTCACTATACTCAGTGCCCAAAGTAAACAGTGATAGGAATTAATAGGAAACCTCAGGGAGAGGACCTAACCTAAAGGAGAATACTCCCACCCCCGTGGCTACTTAAATGTCATTTACTCATTCATTCAGTTATTCAATAAATATTTACTGAGCTCCCAGTACTAAGCACTGGGAGTGTGAACAATAAACAAAATAAACAAGTCCCCGATCACACAGAGGTGACAAACACTAAACAAATCATTACAGGTATACATTTAAATGACAACTATGGGGGCACCTGGGTGGCTCACTGGTTGACCATCTCCCTTTGGCTCAGGTCGTGATCCCAGAGTCCTGGGATCGAGTCCTGCATCAGGCTCCATGTAGGGGGCTGTTTCCCTCTGCCTATGTCTCTGCCTCTCTCTGTGTGTCTCTCATGAATAAATAAAATCTTAAAAAAAAAAAAAACACCACCCACAACTATGATTTACATTGTAGAATGGACGATGATGCCAGCAA